TCCTCGTAGAGGAGACTTTTTATTGTCACTTTGCACACAATTCTGACAAGATTAGGTATCTGGCTTCCAAGGCCACAACAGACTAGTGGGAGAAATTCATAGGAGAAAAGCAGGCAGGCAAGTGGTGCCTGGAGCGCTGTTGTCCCTGCCTTAGTGTCTGTTAGTTCAGCCATCCCCCTCCACCAATGGCTATTGTCTGCTGCACTCAGACTTCTTGTCCCATCCACTTTAGGTCTTTTCTCACTCTCCATCTGGCTGCAGACTTCTGCTCCTGACCTGCTTTTTTCAGAGAGCTTATCACAGCAGAGATGTTGAGCCTCACATGATATATCCCTCATTCTTCTTCTCCACTACTTTATCACCATTCTCTCTTTCTAAGAGCACAGAAGAACACCAATTCTGTCCAGCTGTCAGACTCTGCTGTACTGTCAGAATGTACCCTCTGTCAGAATGTATCTGTACTCAGAGAATTTTTTGTCAAAGTCTCGATATTTTGTTTTGTTTTGGGAAGATTCTCTTTTACCTTTAAAACTTTTCTGCACAAGTGAGTCCCATTTGTGAGTTGAAATCTAGTTCATTCCCACTGAGTTCTTGGATGCAAATCGGGAGATACAGCTAGGCATCTGGCCCGAATTTCCCATGGCAGTTAAACTTCTGGAACTTTCTAATTGCTAGGAAGTCAGTCTTTTCAGATCATGCAAGCAACTTCTAGGGGGCAGTGCTTCCTAATTCCATATGCCAGCCTATCAGAGGCTTTGCTCTGGCTTAGCAAAAATATGCCTATATCGCCATTAGCTTCTCACTAAAATAGTGAGCATACACTAACACACACATGTGTATGTGCATATGTGCATAAACACAAATTAACTTCAACATTCAATCCTTGCAATGGTGCAGTAATACTATTGCTTTCAAATATCGATGCTGACACTAAATCAGGACATGTTTGGAAAGTAATATACCAAAATATACCAAGAATCATAAAATTATTCACTGGCATAACAAAAATTCCATTAAGTTGTGTATATTCTCAAGAGAATACATAAAATGTGGGGAAAACTATGCCACGAATTATTTATGTTAAAAGAGTATAAGAAAGTTAAAGGTCAACAATAGGTTTAAGGGCCAAGCAAGGGCACAGTGGTAACACAACTGCACTCACATGGGAAAAGTCCTGGGGGACCAGCAAGTGGTGTGGTGGTGAAGGCGCTGGACACTCCCACATGACCAACCACAGTGTGTGTCCCAGACCTGGTAGCTTGCTTTCTCATTTTCTCTCTCTCTGTGTGGTCAAATTAAAATAAACGAATGAATAAATAGAATTTTTTGTCAAAGTCTCGATATTTTGTTTTGTTTTGGGAAGATTCTCTTTTACCTTTAAAACTTTTCTGCACAAGTGAGTCCCATTTGTGAGTTGAAATCTAGTTCATTCCCACTGAGTTCTTGGATGCAAATCGGGAGATACAGCTAGGCATCTGGCCCGAATTTCCCATGGCAGTTAAACTTCTGGAACTTTCTAATTGCTAGGAAGTCAGTCTTTTCAGATCATGCAAGCAACTTCTAGGGGGCAGTGCTTCCTAATTCCATATGCCAGCCTATCAGAGGCTTTGCTCTGGCTTAGCAAAAATATGCCTATATCGCCATTAGCTTCTCACTAAAATAGTGAGCATACACTAACACACACATGTGTATGTGCATATGTGCATAAACACAAATTAACTTCAACATTCAATCCTTGCAATGGTGCAGTAATACTATTGCTTTCAAATATCGATGCTGACACTAAATCAGGACATGTTTGGAAAGTAATATACCAAAATATACCAAGAATCATAAAATTATTCACTGGCATAACAAAAATTCCATTAAGTTGTGTATATTCTCAAGAGAATACATAAAATGTGGGGAAAACTATGCCACGAATTATTTATGTTAAAAGAGTATAAGAAAGTTAAAGGTCAACAATAGGTTTAAGGGCCAAGCAAGGGCACAGTGGTAACACAACTGCACTCACATGGGAAAAGTCCTGGGGGACCAGCAAGTGGTGTGGTGGTGAAGGCGCTGGACACTCCCACATGACCAACCACAGTGTGTGTCCCAGACCTGGTAGCTTGCTTTCTCATTTTCTCTCTCTCTGTGTGGTCAAATTAAAATAAACGAATGAATAAATAAAATTAAATAAATAACTCTTTAAAAACAAACAAAAAAAGTCCTGAGTTCGCATCTCAGAACCACCCTGAGTACACCAAGCACTTGCTTGTCAATGATGCAGGCCAGTCGAGACTGGGTGGATCACAGCATAAAGACCCCTGTTGAGGTGATTATCTCTCAGAAAAAAAAGTAAATAATCTTTTTTTTAAAGAATTGTTTCATTGGGACCAGCAGTTAGCGTAATGGCTATGTCGCTGGACTCCCACGTAGTCGATCACGGTTCGCGTCCCTGACCCAGTGGCTTAAAACTCACGCCGGGCGCGTGTGCGTGCGTGCCCAAGATCCCAAGAGGAGAACGGAGGAGAAGGCATTGTGGCGTGGCCATCCCCCCAGGGGGTGATTTCTCGCTTTCTGTCTCTCTGTCTGTCTCTATCTGGCAAGCACACATGCCCTATAGCAAAAAACTCTCAAAAAAAAAAAAAAGAATTGTTTTATTTATCTCTATTTATTTATTTTAATTTGACCAGAGAAGGAGAGAGAGAAAGAGAAAGAGAGTGAGAAAGTGAGAAAGCAAGCCACCAAGGTCTGGGACTCGAACTGCAGTCTGTCATGTGGGAGTCCAGCATCCTTAACCACTATGCCACCTGCCAGCTCCAGTAACCATTATAAAATCTTTAAAAGATTATAGTACATTTACCAGATGGAATTCTATATTGATATTAAAATAATCAGTATAAAATCTATGTAAGAACATATTTATGGTATAATAGCTACCACTTATTGAATGCTCACTATGTCTCGGTTCATGTATTAGATATGTTATGGATATTACTTCATTTCTGTTTCACAATAACCCCATGAGCAGGTACTACCCCATGTAAGGCTCTCTGAAAGGTCCTTCCTCATGCCCCCACCTTTATCTCCAAACTGACTTCCCTTCTCTAGTTAATAAAAAAGAGGATCTCTTAAAGAAGCTCCTAAATTACTCCAGAGCTTTGGCTTTTCACCATTATCATAAACTGTCCTATTTAGAATGATGTTAAACAAAAAAGCAAAAATAAATCAGATTACACAATTGTTATTTCTACTACAATTTACATTTTAAAAGTATGGCCTTTACTTGGAAGTGCATACATGGAATTAATGACAGTTGTCTCAGGGTAGTCAAAGTGTCTTTTCCCAAATATTCTATATTATAATTTAATTATTTAATTATGAAGGTAATTAATTACAAAGGTAAATACATTAAGGCCCCCCAAAATGAAAATAATTGGGTTCTCATTTGATATATCATCTTTTCTTGATCTAAAACATCCTTATGGTTATTGTAATGTTGTTTTCACAATTTTGAAATATGCTAAGCAACAAAAAATATCTACCACATTTATGAAAGTAATTGTGACTAAGCTTTAAAGCTTTGGTGCTTAAGGAAAAAAACAATAGTAATCTCATATCAAGTCATTGATAAAACGCTTCGTAGGCTTCAGTTTTATGTGCATTCGCTCCCTTCAACTGTCCAGTGCCTGAAAGGTAGAACTTCAACTTCCTGAAAGCCATCTAGAAAAACCATTCCCTAAAGGTTCAGCGTAGACACAGCTCTACTGTACTTACATATTGGCCATTATTTACTGGCGAGTCTATATGCTCCAGAAAAGGGTCACTAGAGTGCTTGGCATATGCATGGGTCAACCTCACTCAGCACAGCTGATACACAGCTGCAGGCTGCAGCTGGCTTAGTCCCTCGAAAAATCATCACTGAAAAATGCTGCAGAGGAAGTCGCTTCTGAAGATCGCCCCTTTACTACCACCCATCTCTGAGTCTTTGCAGGCTGACTTCCCTTTTCCGCTTTATAGGAAGAACTATTCTGCTTACTGTTGCTAAACAATTAACAGCTGGTGAAAGATGAGGCCTTGCCGTCTTCCCCGCGCTGAAGGCTCTCCCACACATAGCAGTCATAGGGCAGCTGTGGAAGTCTTGGGCACTACCACTGCCCGCACCAGGCAAAATGCTCAGCAGCAGCTGCAGCTTTAATTCAGACTTCAATACTTAACAGGAGAAACAGACACTTGAAATGTCACCTTTCTTTTTTAATAGTATGACATTTTTCTGATTATAAAATACTTAGTGTCAAAAAAATGTAAATGAGTTTAAAGAAGAACATAAAACCACCTTAAGTTCTTTCACCCAGAAATAGTCACTAATAATATATATATTTAAAGTCCTGGCATTTAAAAATACATGATAGATACCTTTTTTTCAAAAGCATACGTTTACATACACTTTTAACGCTGACATTTGAGACTCATACTGCACATACCAGTTTCCAACTCTATTGCTTAATCTTCCCATTTTATTAATTATGCTGCAAAAATATTTTTAAATGTTTTATGCATAACATCATAACTTGGGAACCATTCCCCTGCAGTTTTGTGTAATATTAGTATCATCTAACTCCTCTTCCTGTTTCCTTAACGCCACTGAATTCTCATGGGCATTTTACACTGTCTGGCTTCAATGAGAATTAAGCACAGGAAGAGGAAAAGCAGCCATCTGTGCAGGAAGGTAAAACCAGTGTAAATTAAATGGGGTGTGAAAAAAAGGCACTTACACTCTTTAAATATATGCTACTTGAGAGAAATGCTTACCTATGTACAGAACTAATCACTGGACACACAGACTTCAGGTGAATAGCCAATAGAGTGCCGCTCAGAAGGCGAAAGCAATCCTATTTCTCTAAATAGCTTTTACAGCTCCAGAATGATCATAGAGATTTTGATCAAACCATGAACGTTTCAAGGATGTTAAAGCCAAACACAAAACAACCCTCCATCTCTGGCAATGGTGCCATTTTCCTCCCAGCTCGGCTCACCAGCGGAGTTATTCTGGGCATTCTACGTTCACCCAGGACAGTGTGCTCACCCGTCATTGTCTCTTTCTCACAGATGGGGGTCTTGCTCCTCCCCTACTTTTATCCACCACACACCCCTTCCTTGTCTTCAGTGGAACACCTATAGAGGAAGAGCCTGGAGATGGGAGTGTGGGAACTGAAGTCATGCTGAGGTTTTGAATTTGGTCTTTAGCAACTTATGCCGAAATGGATGCACTCTATTCCTCGGTCTCCCATCTCCCAAATCGGGATGACCATACGTGCCTTACTGGGCTGTTTGAGGATGCATCTACTGCTTTCTGAAGAGCACTTTCAGAAGAGTACCAGCACACAGTGAGCAGCACTTGATCAACTTTACTGTTGGAACTTCTATTGGAGGAGCTTTTTACATGTCTCCTGGGCTTTTAATCTCTCAACCTCCCACCAGGATAACTGGTTACTTCTGTTGCCATTTAAGTGCTTCTCCTGTGCTAACTTTGGCCTGAGGGCCTTCTGTTTCTTTTTATTCCTTACAACCAATAGAACCCTAGATATTGGCCTCTATGTTACAGACTGGAAAGCTGAGACTAAGAAATGTTCTAAAACAGCTTGACTTTTTCAAACAATTGCAACATTCATTTTAGTTACACTAGTTCTCTGTTCAAATGTCCACAGTTTTATTAACCACCCCTACCCTACTTGAGCTTTCCAGCCATGAGTATTGGCTTGTTACTTTCTAATTCATTTCCATGCAACCCAATATGGCCATTCCAACTTCATCCTCTGCCATCTCAGCTCCAGTCCTGGGCTTTCTTTTGCTTCTGCTCATGCTCCTTCCTTTCCTCTGTGCCATTTTTATCATGAGACAAAGATTTAAATCTTTATCTTCTCTTAGAAGGACAGTGAAATGAAATACTCTATTCTTGTACATTATGGAGTACCTCGCCCACATGGATTGTCCCTGAATTTAACTTTATGCACCTTAAAAAAAAATCAGTAGTACATGCAGTCAAGGGTAAGATGACGCGTATATGTTAGTGGAATTTTGGAACAAAACATTGTGAAGACTTTTCCAGCCACTGACCAAGAAGCATGGCATAGAAGGCAGAAATGGCCACGCTGGCTGTGACAGTTAGTACAACGCTTCTGGGGACAACGTGAGATTCCACATATGTAGCAAGATCCCAGGTGCCGGTGCTGTGGGTTCTTGAGCAGCAAGGATTGAATAGACAGTCTTAAGGAAGAAATGACAGAATTAATTGAGAACCACAGAAAAAGATTAACTAATAAACACACAGGACAAGAATGAGCCACAGAAGACAAACGTTTGTCAAGGAATAAGACCCAAAGGTTTAAAGGGCTCCAGGTGGAAGGTGCTGGGATGCACTTTTCCTCTTCTGTGTTCCGTTAGGCCTTAACACTGCACGGCACTCTGGAGCTTCCCCAGCAGAGGACTGACGCTTGGACCCTCCTAACACTTTCTGGTCATGCCTGCATTCCATGTCCACCAGCACTTTGTTTTCAAGGTCAGCAAAGGTCCATTTGCAAAATATTTAGTAAGTTGCAATGAGTTGAAAGGGGAGAAAGAACAAGAGCAAGAGTGAGAATTAGAGAATCGCGGGAAGCAGCTGGCGGTCAGGAGCACTACCTTCTCCAGACAAAATCTGGGACACGCGATCTGACAATGGAATAGCCGGAGTGAACACAGATCATGTATTTGACAACTGAAAATGCAGGACGTGTTGCCAATACACATCGGAAGACTGGCTAAGGGCACTTGTACTTACGCGCAGGGAGAGAGGACAGACTGGAGAGGGGTTGGCCTGGGGTGCTGCGGTAGGGGGAGGCTGCAGAGAGAATACAGGACAAGCTGCTCTCAAATATCTGGAGTGTGTCATGGGATGAGCATTAAACTGGGGGGAAGGGGAGTGTGAAGCATAGAGCAAAGATAAATAAAATAACCTAGAAATGAAATAAATAGCCCCAAGAAGCTAGAACGGTACTTGTCAGGGATGTGATGAAGGAAATTCCAGTGTCCTAGCTGGGAATGTTGCGATTCTTGAAGCCTTCAGGACCTGCCTGGCCACTGGTGTTGCTGGTACCTACGTGGCCACCGATTCAGCAAGTCCATTTGCCTCAGAGACCTTGCCAAACCTCTGAAGTGGCTCAAGTGCTCTCTTAAAACTTTTTCCTTCCTCTTTTTAAAAAGTTAATGTATTCATATATTTCTTCCATGAGAGTGAGAGACAGAAAGAGAGAGGCACTTCTAACAGGGCCTTCACACCACGATCCACCCCCAGCCCAGCCAGCCTGGATCAAGGCACACGTGCACACCCAGGAGGCCTCCCCATGCGGTCCACATCGCAGGACACTGCCATACTGGTACTACCTGCTGGCCCCTCTTTCCTCTTTTAATGTGCCTTCTGGTCCCCTTATCCTTCTCTGCAGCTAAGAGCATGAAAGGTTGTTGTGGAACAGAAACCAAAGAGACTAATTAGATGCCTGGTGATAACATTTTCTAAACCCCCAATGAAAAGCCTTGCTTAGCCACCTAGTCTGGTAAGAGAACAGCTGACACGAAGCCCTGCAGGTGCAGCACTTCCCCCACCTCCCCTCCCAGGACCTCCAGGACAGTGTCAGGTGGAGTCAAATGGTCCCACAGCTGTGGCTCTCACCACACCAGGGCAGAAGATAAGGAGAAGGGGGTGGTCTGGAGGGGCCGAAAAAATAAAGCAGGTATTGCTGCTTCCTCCTTTAAAAAAATAAAAGGTCTCCCAGGAGGTTTCTTACTTGAAGTTATCAGCAAATGCATTAATCAGAGTTCACACTTTAACAAGGACTCATTGCTGAAATTCACTGATACCAAGGAGGGACTGGACATAGGAGAGGCCCTGGGGTGGCAATGCAGGGGGGAGTGGCAGAGGGTAGGCCAGGAGGCTGATAAGGGAGGTGAGGAGGGCATTGGGAGGCCCTTTGCCTAGAACTGGTTGTGCTAAAGGCTGCTCAGTTCTTTCCTCTTGCTCACAGATTCTGTTACAGAAGAGTAGGCTTCCTGGGACCAGCAGTTAGCGTAATGGCTATGTCGCTGAACTTCCATGTAGTCGACTGCGGTTCGAGTCCCGGACCAGGTGGCTTAAACTCATGCTGGGTGCATGTGAGTGTGTGCACAAGATCCCAAGAGAAGAATGGAGGAGAAGGGATTGCAGTGTGGCCATCCATCCCCCCTGAAGTGGGGAAAAAAGCCTAAAAAAATTTCATTTAAAAAAAAAAAAAAAAAAAAAAAAAAAAAGGAAGTGGGTTTCCTTTCCCAGGGAGAGAGCTAAGTGGGACAGGGTTTCAGCAGAGAAGCAATGCTGGTCTCCCCCAGAGAAGGGACCATAGCTGCTTTGTCTATTTGTATGACTTGATATGTGTATGCACACGCATGCATGAACACACACGTGTGTTCATGTGTGTCTGTGATTTATGTGTTTTGAAACTTCAGCTGATCTGGAGGAGCACATCTTTAACAACCCAAGCAATCATGGTAATGGCTGATATTCACACGGGCCTCCTGTATGTGCTGTTCTAGAGGCTTTATAAGCTTTAACTGAATTTTCACAACACTATTAGGGAACTGTTACAATCCTCATTTTACAGACGAGGAGATTGAAGGACAACTTGGTTAAGTAACTTGCCCAAGGTCACGCAGCCAATCTAGGCTGTCTGGTCCCAGAGTCTACTTTTGTTTTTTCTTTCCTTCTTTCTTTCTCTTCTTTCTTCCTTCCTTCCTTCCTTCCTTCCTTCCTTCCTTCCTTCCTTCCTTCCTTTCTTTCTTTCTTTCTTTCTTTCTTTCTTTCTTTCTTTCTTTCTTTCTTTCTTTTTTTAAATTTGACCAGACAGAGAGAAAGGGAAAGTAAGAAAGCAAGCCAACAGGTCTGAGATTTGAACCATGGTCAGCCATGTGGGACTTCAGTGCCTTTAACTGCCATGCTGCCTGCTGCCCCTGAGTCCAATTTCTTAACCATCATGCTGTACAGTGTTTCATATTGAGTACAAAGGAGTTAATATGTTCAAGTAGAGCATATTAATTCTTTTTTAATTGCCAGAGGGTGTGTGTATTTGCCAGAGAGAGACAGAGACAGAAGAGAGAGAAGGAGAGGGAGAAAGCACCCCCTAATGGGGCACAGTCATGTTGTAATCCCTCCTCCTCCATTTCTCCATTCTGTCTGGATTTGGGGCATGCATACACGTACTCCTAGCATGTTTTTCAAGACATTGGGGCTGGGATTAGAATCTGGTCAGGCATGTGTGATCCAGCTCCCTTAACTACTAAGCCATGGGGCCAGTCCAAGAGTACTAATTTTTATCAGTAAGTATTGAGCACTACCAAGCACCTAGCTCTTATATCTTACATATCAGATACTGGATATATAAACTTGTATCCCATGTAATCTGCAAAATAATTTTATGAGATAGGCAACATAGTTATTCCTATTGTATAAGCGACAAAATTCAAGGTTACGAAGTTTAAGTAACTTGCCCACACATGTGTTCATGCGTAGGATTTAGGTGTGTTTAGTAGAAAAGTCCTGTTTGCTGCCAGTACCTTACACCAAAAGAAAGAATGAATGGCATCTAACTTACAATTTTAGGTTCTTCATTAAAGTCAACAAGGAAGCCAAGAAAGCCCTTTCATCTTGAAATGCTTACTTCCCTTACATTCCATTCTTTCACTTGGCTTCCATTGGATAAATGTTTCTCCGGTCCCTGTCAGCATATCCTGCTTTCACACCCGAGAATCCACCCTAGGGCATACTCTGTGCTTCCAACGTCTTCCAAATGCCAGCTTGACTGGCCCGTAGGTAACTTGAGCAAGCTACCAAAAGCATGATTGGGATAACTATTGCACTTACTTGCCACTTGTATAGGAGCAAAATAGCAAAGCCAACTCCTTAATAATTACGGTGATCAGCTCAGTAGTTCTATGTGAGTTAAAACTGTGTTTTCTTCATCTCTTCTAAATCCCAGCAAGTAGTGAAGTCCATGACTAGCCATGCATTTCATTAAACCTGCAAATGATAAAACAGAGTTATTCTAGAATGGAAGGATAATTTCTAATTACTTTGACCCGTTCTAGTCCTCTTATTTACAATACACGATAGAAACACATGCTTCAAGAGCAGATCTGAGTTTAAATTCTAGTTCAGTTACTGTCTTTGAAATTGCAATTAAGTTATCTCTCCTTTCTGTCCTTCAAATCCTCCTGCAACTTTAGGATGATAGAATCTATCTCGAAGTTTATTGTGAAGGTAAAATAAGCAAGATGCAAACACATTACCCAGTGATGGACGCAAAATCTGTTCGGTAATATTGCTTCTCCCCTTCCCCTGCAAATTTCTTCAGGGGGTACATGTTCATTTCCTCCCCAATCTCCTTTTTCTTCTCTACCCGTCCTGCCCCCTCAATGCTCAGCCTTGCTTAGTGGCATGGTGGCTAAGGGTGCTGGACTCCCACGTGGCTGACGGCGGTTCCAGTCCTGGACCTGGTGGCTTGGTTTCTCGCTTTCTCTCTCTCTCACTCTGTCCCTCTCTAGTCAAATTAAAATAAATGAATAAATGGATAAAGTTAAATAAAATAATTCTTTAAAAAAAAAGGTGGGGAGAATGAGCTATTTTTCTTAACATAGATATACATGTTACTAGCAACAGCTTTTCCCTGTTGAAGCATGCATGGTGTACCTTGGTCCCTTGCTATTCCTCTTGGCTTCGTTTTGTTTTATTGCTTCACTATAAAAGAGAATGGAAAACGAAGGAAATGGGACCACAATTCTTCCATCCTAGTTTTTCATGACCAAGATTCAGACAAATAAGAAGAACCCTAGAATCCCTCTTTTATATTTCTTACCTGTTTACAACATGGAGAACACTAGATGGTGTGTTTTTAAAATAATTCGTGAGAAAATTATTCTCTACTTTCACAGGTATTTGAGTACACACTGATGATAGGTGAGGTATAAGGACTATTCTAAATTTATAGGACAGTGGTGCTGTGGGACACTGCCCACATGCCCTTCCGGACTGCTGCTGCCCTTGTGGGCAGAAAAGCCTCCCTTGTCTGCCCCTCAGTGGAGGTATCTCAGCTACAGAAAACCGCACTGCCAGAAGGGGCCAGCAGGTGGCGTGGTGGTTAAGGCGTTGGACTACCACAAGGCTGGCTGCCTACGGTTTGGGTTTGGGTTTGGATCTAAGACCTGGCAGTTTACTTCCTCATCCGCTGTCCTGTCTCGCTCTCCGGTAAGTACACCTGCCCTACAGCAAATTTTAAAATACTAATAATAAATAAAATTAAATAAATAATTTTTAAACAGAAAGAAAGCTATTTTGCCCAAGGTCACAATTCTCTCAGCCTGTTTCCAATGACAGGGAAATGTGGCGATATGGCCCTTTTCCCTAACTTAAGGCAACTCAGAAGGGCCATCGCAGCCCCAGAGATCCCTGTGAGGTTGGCCAAGGCCTTTACTGAGACCACATCATAATCATATCCCAGCTCCTCCCTCTGCTCCAATCTTACTTTCTTCCTTTCAAGTGCAGATCCCAGCAGCACTTCCTAATGAAAAGTTCTGTTCTTTTTTTGTTTTTTTTTTTTTTTTTTTTAAGGTTTTTGCCTTGGGATGCATGCACTCACCAAGGAGAAACAGAAAGGAAAAGTGAGAAATCACTCTCTAGGGGAGATGGTCATGCCATCCCTTCTCCTCCAGTCTCAAGATTTTGGGCACACATGTACATGTGCCTGGCATGATTTTCAAGTTGCTGGGTCTGGGATCAAACTGGTCAGCCATGATGGTGTTCAGCACCTTAACCACTCCACCACCTGCTGGCTCCTGTTTATTAATTTTGATCTGAGTCTATTTCAGGGAACCCTACCTGTGACAGATACCTAATTACTGAATTTTTTCAAATATTCATGGGAAGTCAGACAAGGCTCCCTTTTACTTCATAAAGCAAATAAACGTCATATTTTTTGTTTACCTGTAGAATAAGAATGTTAACAAATATGATTAAAAATTTTAAAAGTATTGGGGCTGGCAGGTGGTGTGATGGTTAAGGGAACTGGACTCCCACATGGCCGACCGTGGTTCGAGTTCTGGTCCTGGCGCTTGCTTTCTCACTTTTCCTTTCTCTCTCTCTCTCTTTCTCTCACTCACTCTGTCACTCTCTGGTCAAATTAAGATAAATAAATAAATAAAGTTAAATAAAATAATTCTTTGAAAAAAATTTTTTAATTTAAGCACATAAGGAGTTCTTATTTATGTTTGCCTAATATAGGAATGTAATTTACCTAAAGGTTGTCTTTGCCGTATGTGGTTAGCACAATTCATTTTTAATTTAAATCAAATAGAATTTTATGTGCAAAGCTAATTTTCTATAGCTTAATTTAGAAAAAGATTGACATCTTCAGACTGTTTAGGAGGATGGTATCTTTCTCAATGTATTCAGATCTTCATTTGCATACTGCAAAGTTTTATACTTAAAAAATGGAAAGAGGGAGACTACACGTTTCTTGTTAAGGGAATTCTTAGATATTTTATGGGTTTCTGTTGCAACTGTGTTATTTATGTGTTTAAATTGATTTATAGGCATAACAAAAGTCCAATTTCCATATTTTTGTTTTATTGGCTTCATAATGATCTTAAAATTCATCCAGAATAACAAACAGATAAGAATAACTAAGAAAAGATGAAAAGACATGTTCACTAGTTAATACTAGAATAAAACAAAGGCCTAGTTGGGACCAGCAGTTAGTGTAATGGCTATGTTGCTGGACGCCCATGCAGTCGACCACAGTTCAAGTCCTGGACCTGGTGGCTTGAAACTCACAACGGACGTGTGTGTGTGTGTGTGTGTGTGCCCAAGATCCTGAAAGGAGAAGGGATTGCAGCATGGCCATCCCCCTTGGGGGGTGATTTCTTGCTTTCTGTCTCTCTGTTTCTGTCTGTGTGGGGAGCACACGCGCCCTATGGCAAAAACCTCTCCAAAAAAAAAAAAAAAGAAAGAAATTAGTTCATAAAAGAAGAGATGGGGGCCAGCCCTAAGTTACAGGAGGCCAGATCCCATGTGGCTGACTATGGTTCAAATCCTGGCCCTAGCAGCTTGAAAACAAGCTGCATGCATATGTATGCTTGCACCCCAAACCCTGGTGGAATGGGGAAATGGAAGAAAGGGATTGTGGCATGCCCATACTCCACTGCAGGTGCTTTCTCTCTCCCTGTTTCTCACTCTCTGAGTGCGTGTGCCCTCAGTCAATAAAATAAAAGAACAGACAAAACTAATAACTCATTTTAAAATGGACAATCTGGGAACCAGCAGTTAGCGTAATGGCTATGTCACTGGACTCCCATGTAGTCGACCGCGGTTCGTGTCCTGGACCCAGTGGCTTAAAACTCACGCCGGGCGCGTGTGCGTGCATGCCCAAGATCCCGAGAGGAGAATGGAGGAGAAGGGATTGCGGTGTGACCATCCCCCCTGAGGGGTGATTTCTCGCTTTCTGTCTCTATGTCTCTCTCTGTCTGTCTGGCGAGCGCACGTGCCCTATAGTGAAAATCTCTCCAAAAAAAAAAAAAACAATGGACAATCTGAACAATTTTTAAAAGAAGATATGCAAATGGCCAAAGAGCATATAAATAAAGTTCAACACCACAAGTCATAAAACCACATGGAAATCAAAACCATAATGATGTATCACTGCACCCAGTCGGCATGGCTCTTACCGGAAATATAAAGAATAACCAGTGCAGGCAAAGCTGTGGAGAAAGGGGAACCCTCATGCACTGTTGACGGGAAGGTCAATTAGTACAGCCGCTATGGAAAACAGTACAGGAGTTCTCCAAAAAACTGAAATCAGACCTACTTTACAACACAGTAATATCAGTACTGGGTATATATCCAGAGGATAGAATATCTATGTGGGAGCCAGCAGCTGGCTGAGCTGGCTGGTTAAAGCAGCTCAGTTAAAGCACTTAAGTTTTTTTAAACTCAGTTTAACCACATGGTGGTTAAAGCACTTAACTCTCATGTGGCTAATTGTGGTTCGAGTCCCAGACCTAGCAGCTTGAAACTCACACCAAGCATGTGTACGTGTGTGTGTGTGTGTGCCCAAAATCCTGAGAGGAGAATGGAGGAGAAGAGACTGAGGCATGGTCATCCCATTGGGGGCAATTTCTCGCTTTCTATTTCTCTGTGTCTCTCTGGTGAGTGCATACACCCTATAGCAAAAATCTCACAAAATGAAAGAAAGAGAGAAAGAAAGAAAGAAAGAAAGAAAGAAAGAAAGAAAGAAAAAGAAAATCCATATATCAAGGAGATATCTGCATTTCCATGTTTGTTATGACACTATTCACAATAGCTGGACTATGGAATCAACCTAAGGGCTCAACAACTGATGAATGGATGAAGAAAATGTGGTATATATACACATTGGAGTCTTTTCTAAGAATTATTTTATTTAACTTTATTTATTTGTTTATTTTCATTTGACCAGAGAGGGAGGGGGAGAGAGAGAGAGAGAGAGAGAAAGTAAGCCACCAGGTCCAGGACTCAAACCACAATCAGCCACGTGGGAGTGCAGCGCCCTTAACCATCATGCCACCTGCTGACCCTCACATTAGAGTCTTATTCAGTCATAAGAAAAGGATGAATCCTGAAATTTGAGGCAAAATAGAAGTACCTGGGGAAAAGAATGCTGAGTGAAATAAGCCAGGTCAGAAGTACAAATATTATTAGCAGAAGCTAAAAGACTTGATTGCGTAGAAATCGAGAGCGTAATGGTGGGTACCAAGGGGGGAAGGGGTAGAGAATTGGGAGAACTTGGCTAACAGATACAGAAGCATATGTGAACAAGTGGAAGAGATTAGAAAATATTACACAGCACAGCAGAGTGAAGAATATTAGTGACAATTTAACACACATATTTCAAAATAACCAGTAGAGTAGATTTTAAATGTGCAATACAAATAATAAAGGTTGGAGATGGTAGACATGTATGTTTTTCTGATTTGACTATTATGCTATAC